AAATACAAACCAAGAGCTAAAAAGACAGCTCAGTACGTTAGGTGCACGGGCTGCTCTTGAAGAGGACCAGGGCCACCTGCCGAGCATCCACTAACACTGACAGGGCGGCTCAGACACTAGTCCCAGGGGACCTAACCACATCTGGCCGATTCAGGCAACAGGCACACACATAATAAACATACTGGCAAATACCCAAACAGACAACAATAAATACATCTTTTTTTTTTTTTTTTCAAAACAAAAAAGAGATCCATATTTGTTTGAGTAATCATTAATTTGTGTACTTTCCTATACACCAGGCATGAAATCTGAGAGATCAGAGCTTATAAAACCAACATTAAATCCAATGTCATAAAACATTATTTCCAAACCAAAATTAAATGAATAAACTTGCTGTTCCACTAAGAGACTATTTAACGTCATCAATACCGTATGATTGATTAATCCACAAGTGTTTAAAAGTGTGATTTCAGTCTTTCAGGCCACTTGATTTCCAATGCTCACGGACATTCACAAATTATAAGTCCTTTCCTTTCTTAAGTCTTATGTTATCTTCTTTATTTGGGTATACCTGCTTAAGTTATTTACTGAGTAAAAGCAATAATGTTAAATTTTAGTTGTTTTCTAAAAATGACTTTATTTCTAAATATAAAAGATCTCAGATACACTCTGTGCACACAAACCAAAAACTATCAGAGAGGCTTTCTCCCCAGTTATAAGTGTTGTTTTTGTTTTTTAAGGTTTTTTTCCCTGAATATGGTTTTTTATACCACATGCACGCAGTTCCCACAGTGGCCAGAAGAGGGCGTGAGACACCTCAGAACTAGAGCGACAGGCATTGCAAGGTGGGAGCTGGTCCTCTGGAAGAGCAGTCGGTGCTAACCTTAACTCGCAGCTAAAACAACTCAAGTAGCAGGCTTTCAGAGGGATTGTTTAGAAGCTTGACTGCAGTATACAGTGAGGCTAGAAACACTTCTTTGAAAACATACCTGTTTTTATTCTTTTTAATTCTGTGTGTGTGTGTGTGTGTGTGTGTGTGTGTGTGTGTGTGTGTGTGT